CCGAATAAGATAAATAAGTTTAGCATATCCAAATGCAGGTACTTTTATGCTGCTAGCTTCAAACATCTGCATGAAGAGTTTAAAAGTGCAAGCGATTGGCTAGCGTTTTTAATAAACTGTCTCTGACTTTTGTACCTTAGCATGAATACTCTGAACATGACATTGACTAGTTATGAGAACAGGCTTGGCAATCAGGCAGGCTTGGATTCAAATCCCAGCTCTATCTCTTACTGGCTGGGCGACTTGGGGGACTTGAGAATTTACTTAAACTCTCTATTTCTTAGTTCCTTTATCTTTAAAACAATCTTATGAGATAGCTGTAAAGATTAAGAGACATAAAAAATGTAAAAGATTGGGGCGCCTGGGTAGCTCAGATGGTTGAGCGTCTGCCTTCGGCTCAGATCATGATCCCAGGATCCTGGGATCGAGCCCAGCATCGGGCTCCCTGCTTAGCAGGGAGCCTGCTTCTCCCTCTCTCTCTCTGCTGTTCCCCCTGTTTGTGCTCTCTCGCTCTCTCTGGCAATAAATAAATAAAATCTTTAAAAAAAAATGTAAAAGATTTAGTATCTGTGCCTGGAATATAACAAGTAGTAAAAAGTAACCATTAACCAACTTTTTACCTGAGTATTATGGCATTATGTCGATAACAGCCTCAGACTAATTAGAAAATCATAGTTCTTTATTACAACTGAGCATCAGTGAGAGATAAAAGGACTATCTTTAATGATATAACCATTAAAAACAAAACAAAACAAAAAGGCTTATAAAACTCTAACTGCTAAAATGAACTTCAGGAAATGACCTTGATCTCATTTGCTGTATTTGAGCAGGAGAATCAGACTGTCTGCAAACATGGTCTTTTCCCTCCCCGATCTCAATAAGCTGAGCAGATTCACTACATACACAGATATTACCATGAAAACGAAGAAAGAGAAAACTGAATTTTTCCAAAGACCAAGAAGGAATAGTAAGAAAACACTAACTAGGTAGCTAAAAAACAATATACTCTGAAGAAAAGAGACAAAAGACATTGATTTTGAGTTGTGGCTTTTCAGAAAAGCAAAAAGAAATTATTGGGGAGACACTTGAGCAACTCATTCAGCACATATTTCCCACCCCCACCCTGCACCCCACTTTCTTTTTCCTGACTTAATAAAGTAATTGAGAAAATAGAAGTCTGAATCCCCAGGTTTGGCAGTGTGGCTTGCAGTCACTTGAAAAGGGGGAAACGGCCATTTTATGTTAGCTACAAAAACTGAACAAGATAACATCGTATTTTCAAGATGATCCTTTTAAAACATCAATTAAGTGGTCAAACAGAATTATGCCCATTGATACACTTTGGTATCCTTTTTGATATTTTGTATTATAATTACACATATGAAAAAGCTTTAATTTCTTTTCTATCTTCTTAAGCTGTTATACAAATATTGCTGATTCAATAAAGCTTCCTCGGTAGCAAAAAACTGCTGCTGTGGTCTTGAACTAAGTGTTCAGAAAGGAATTTAAGGGAAGGGATGTATGAAACACCTCCTTGTGCTTCTCACAAATAGGCGCAATAGCTTCGTGCAGTCATTCAATAAAAAGAAAAAGAGAAGTTCAGAGAGATTAAATAATTTTCCAAGGTCACAAAACTAATATTAACGGTTGTGCTAACTAACGTTTATTGCACTACCTCCTCAATTCACAAAACCCTAAGGTGGATGTCATTATTACATTCAGTTTTAAAAATGAGAAAATAGAAGCTAAGTAACTTGCCTGAAGTCAACAGACCTGGCAAGTGAATAACATAAGGTAAACCCACATGGTTGGTCCCCAGAGCCTGCCTCTCGGTGTTTGCTCCTTCCCTCCACATACTGTCGCTCTTAAGAGACCATCTAGTTCATCCTAGGCAAATGAAAATGCTCAGTATACAATTCTGCACAGAACTAGTGCTCAATTAATATTATCATTAAAGTGAATCTTTCTTATTTTTTCTAAGGAACTCAATACAGAAAGGAAAATGAGTTTAGACCGTAATAATTTCTTGTCACTTCCTTTTCAACTGGCTATTCTAAATGATGATAGAATGGAAGTATCACTGTTCAGTATTATCTCATTTATTTATCCTAGAAATATTCAATGAGCCCTGGAGTATGAGCCTACTGATGAAAGAAAAGAAAGAAAGAAACACAAAGACATCAAACATGGTAATAAGTATTAATTATCTGCTGGCTAGGAGTAGTTAACAAGGCCCCAATAATTACCAGGGAGAGCGATCTTTTTATTAATTGAAATCCAACTCAATTCTTTTGTTTTATTTTTATTTATATGTCACTTGACTTTATTTGGTCTTCACAAAACCTGTGTGAGGTAGGTTTCCCAGCCTGCCTTCACAGATAAGGGACAGCCATTTGTCATCAAGCTTGTTCAGGCTCACAGAATCTCCGTCTCCTGACCTTAAACCCAGCACTCTCTCCACGAACTGACAATTGCTTCTTAGTTGCAGGGATTCAGAACCTATTGCCAAATCAGAGTCTTCAGACCTGAGCCTGTTTTCTGACCCAGAATCATTAAGTGAAGGAGAGACCAGGATTCCAGGAGGAAGGACATTACAATAAACTCTATGACAAGTATGTATATAACAATACCCTAAATGCTTCCCCAAAGGTAACAATGGCCATTTATATAGGTACTCGTGCACTTGGGAAAGTGGGATACCCTTTGAATCTTGGTCGACACAGAACATGAGCTGCCAAGTTAACTAGGGGCCTCAAGCATTTACATGGCCTTCCCTTAGAATGCGGTCATATGGGGGCCAGGTAATATACGGGATCATGCCCCAGGTCTGGCTCACAATGGATCCACTGAGTCCATGGACCCATCCAATTCCTGATATTTCAATGGCTCACCCATTCATGGTGGTGGGTGTAACCCTCTACATTGTTCCTTGGCCAATGGGGTAAGAGTTAATCATAGTGGAGAAAGCCAAGTGGAAGCCCTATAACACCAGCACCAGCCAAGACCAATCTCAAGTCCTATCTTAACTGAAAATCGTGGATTCATGGAGGTGGGGGGTGGGGGGGCACAGTTAGTTCTCAAAAGGTTCCACCAACATAAGCCAAATCAAAAAATAACTTCACAGGTTGATAAAACTCCCTCCATTGCTGCAGAAATTGAAATTTAGTTATGGGAGTTAGTTAATATTATCTTTTTCTTTCTGTACATCCTTAGATATTCTTCCAACACAATCAAATGTATATTACTCTTAGACATTGCAAGCCAATTTTTTCTTCTTAAAAATTTATTTTTATCTACAGGTAATGCAAATGCTATGGTATCACTCACTGCTCATCAATTTTTAAGTCAGTAACAACTTCATATGCCTAGATTAACCTTGAAACCATGTGGAAGAGGAAAATCCCATGAAACTTTAAATGTGTAGTCCAGAGTTTGGGGGAAATGCCCAAATCATATCAATGGCATAATGATTCAATTTTCTATGTAAAAAGGGATTTGTCCTAAAAGGAATAATCCAATATTCATGCATAAACACAGATACCTACATTTTTATTTTTATGCCTTTAGACAATAATGCAAAATGATTATTCAGTGGAGACTCTCAAATTTTACACAAGAGATTAATGTATTTGTACCCACATTCCAAAACTGTATTAAACACTATAGGAAATATAAAATCCCAAAAATGTACTGCATGTTCTCAAAGAACTAACATGGGATTCAGGTCTCAGCAGTATTAGAGTATGTAGTTAAATTTAAAATAGACTTCAAGGGTTTGAAAAGCACGAAAATAGTTACAAAAATGTGAAAGAGGTCAGGACCTGGTGTCAGACTGAGTGGATTCAACCCCAAATCTCCTACTTATATAGCTTCAGTTAGTAATTTCCCTTCTCTGAGCTTCACTTTCCCTCTCTGTAATGTGAGTTCTTATGAAGATTCACTGAGGTCAGATAAAGAATTCAGCACAGAGCCAAGCACATAGGAAGTACCCAGTGCATATTAGCTGTTCTTATTTCTATTATGTATTCTTCGGGAAACAGTCCCAAGTAAAAAAGAGGAATATCACTAGTCAACAAAATTAGGTTCTTTCAGACACTAAGAAAAACTTTGACAGCTGCAATCATCTTTTTCAAATTCTCTACCAACAGCCCCTAGGACTAGTCTGATGATGTTGAACATTGAATGCAATTAGTATAATACATCACAAAGGCATCTGCCCCAAAACTGTCCTCTCAGGCCAAGAGCCCTCTACTTTTCCTCTCCTATAATCAATATCATCATCAATTATCCCCACCACTCAGTTTTTCTTCACTCTTGCCTTATCTTAAAATAATAATAATAATAATTATGTGTTTTAAAATCTACTTTTTACTTCTGCTGTAACTTTGTGATGTGGGCCCTGGAAGCGCAGGATGTTTAGAACACAAACGACTCAACAGAGCCCTGCTTAACGGGCCATATGAAAGGGACCACTTCCTAAGTCAGTGAGAAGTGCTATCAGTCTCATGCTCCCCCCTCTCTCTTTGCCTTTTTTGTGCAGTGCTGAAATGAAAAACCTTCTTGTGCCTTGCAAGAGAACATAATATGCATTGATAAAACATGTTTATCCTTTCAAATACTTGGATTCATTGGGCGGACATGTTACTAAGGCAGTAATTTTTGGTGAAGTGGTCATTGAAAGTAAATTATTTTTGATCATTTTCATGCCATATATTAACTGAATAATAAAGCTGAACTTGGTAAAATGACGTCTAACTCTTGAAGCTTAGAAAAATTATAGTTCCTTCTGTAGTTAGGGAGAGCACCCCTCCACCCCCACCTGCTCGAAATACCCCAGAATCTCTGTGCTCTCGCTGCAGTTCTGCGGGCTCCATGGTTCCTTATCCCCAGGTCTAGCTGGATTGCAGAGTTCAGTTTATGATGATGAAATAAAACCTAAACCACAAAAAAAAAAAAAAAAAGAAGAGAAAAAGAAAAATTATAGTGACCAGGTTTCTTACCTACAACAATGCCATAGGAAAAAAACAGAAAGTAGATATTGGGGGCAAAACTGCTCAACATCAGGCCTCCAGCTACCATGAAGCCACTGAAGATTGTCACAGGTCTTGCTCCAAAAGAGGAGACACAGAGGCTGCAGACAGGACCTAAAATAATAAATGAAACCTTCACTTATTCAACAGTAACCTCCTTCCCACAATCAGAGGATCCATCCCATCATAAATTTAAAATGATTCTTTCCATCATACAATAACAACACTAACAATAAACATCTACTGTGTATTTACTATGTGCTGGACACTCTGTGACATACTTCATACAAACAATCACATTTCATTTTAATCTCACTGCAGCCCAGGAAGGTAGATACTATTGTTCACCTCATTTTTTGATAAGGAAATTAAAGTTTCCAGATGATAAGGCCACCTAGTTAAGAAATGGCGTTCTGGAGTCTGACCTTATTCAAAGTGGAGCTCTACTACTTGCTGGCAATTTGATCTCAGGCAACTTTTCTGATCTCTCTGTGCCTCGGTTTCCTCATCTGACGACTGTAATAATAGTACCACCTCATAGGGTTGCCGCGAAGACAAATGAGAGCACAGAAGTCAAGCTGATTCCAAGGCCTGACACAAGGAAATTCACAGTCAATGCTCGCTCTTCAGTGATGACAACGGCAGCCGCCGCCAGAGTAGTAACAGAGGAAGAAGTAAAAACCCAGGCAGTCTGAGTCCGGAGCCCAGCACCTTAACCATCATACTATGCTGAGGATTTTGCCTCCTGCATGTTCCATGCATTTTTTCCTGCCCAGCGCTCCTTTCCAGCACAAGGGTGATCATCAATATGACCATATAGAGGGATGGAGGGGTGGTTATTCATTTCCTAGAGAATATTCTGGCAGGTGAGGCCAAATGGAGAAGCACCCCACCTGTTCCGGTATGAATCCCTCAGTACCACTGTCCTACATTCTATGTGTAACCTGGAATTTGTGGGAAGAAGTACACTGTTGAGTAACAGGTAACAGTGACACCGCCCGGATTTGTGCTATGGATAAGTGGGCAACATGGATAACTATGGATAAGTAATGGGATTTAAGTGATGGTGAAATTCTTTCCCACTAGCCGTGTACCTAGAAAGCCCCTACAACTACAGAGCTAAGCTTATCAGAAATGAAAGGACATTAAGGATTATTCAGCCCATTAGTCTATTTACATGGAAGGAAACTGAAGCTCAGAGAGGTGTCCAAGCCCATGGCAGAAGAAAGAGCCCAGGACTTGAAAGCAAAGAGAAACACGTCTTCATTAAGTTGACAACAACCTTTCAAGGTACCAATTATTATTCCCAATTTTTAAAAAGTGCAATCACCAGGATGGCTAAAGATAGACAACAGTGTTAGCAAGGATAGGAAGCAATCAGAACCCTCATAAACTGCTGGTCTTGTCTCCTAAAGCTGAACATGACACATGGTATAGCTCAGAAATTCTGCTTCTGTGTATACACTCAATAGAAATACCTGTACTAAAAGTATATAATGTTCACAGCAGAACTATGTATAGTAGCCTAGAAACCCAGATTGTTCATCAGCAATAGAAAACGTAAGTGAATTCTGGTATAGTCATACAATGGACTATTATATGGCAACGAGAATGAATGATCTGTAGCTACACATGCAGAAGTATCTCATAAACATATGTGGTATGAAAGACACTCAACACAAGAAAGAATACGTTGCATAATTGCAAGTATAGAAAGTACAAACACAGGCAAAATTGATCTATGATAGAAGTCAGGATAATGGTTATCTTTGGTAATGGGTAGGGAGTTATAACCAGAAGGGAGCACGGCCCCACTTCTAGGGTACTACCAATGTTCTTTTTTTTTTGATGTGAATATTCACATTATTACATGGGTGTAATTTGGTTTGTGAAAAGTTCATCAAGCTGTACTCAGAATATGCACACTTTTCTGTATATATCTTTCGTTCAGTAACCTCAAACAAAGAAATGAGTTACACTGTTTATAAGTGATAGAGCCAGGATCCGGCCACTCCAAGTCCAGCATTCCTGCCAATACCAGGGAATCTCTCAAGTGCCTACTTAAGACCAGGATATGACCACTGAGATACCACATAGCTCTCAACACGTACAGCTCTCCCACATTTCTCCCTGGTCATGAACTGGCCCCTGACATTTCAGGCCTTCTATGTGAGCCAGTTCAGAAGAGGAGACTGATATATTTGTATGATAAACAGAGGGGAATAATCTGTGCCTGTGTTTTAAAAGGAAAATCCATTTGAAAGACCAAACTTATCATCCGTAGTTGAGCTGTGTGTATACCCAATGAGAAATACTTAGACACTTCAAAAATAGAAATGATTTTAAGGGTCAAATTTCATAAATGGGTGTGTGACATCATAAAAGCATGATCCTTCTGTGTTGTTTACCAAACATTGACATTGACAATGAGAGTCAGTGTCAACAAATTTAACAAGCCCAATGGAATTAAAACACAGAGATGATTATTATTGGCATACCTGAAAAGTTTCAAGTTCCATCCTCAAAGTAGGACTTTAAATCTATGCTCCTTAACACATGATAACTCCACAAGGAGATGCAGAGTATGGGAAACCAGGGGTGCGGATGAAGGGTAATAATTTTCATAGCATGTACAATTACACTGTAACTATTACATGCTAATAAGTACATAATTATTGTCAACTATGTGATAAGTTCATAAATCATTTTGGTCAAATACATGATTATTTGAAAAAAATTAAGCTCAGGAAAGAAATGAGCAAAAATTCTTTGACTGACAAAACAGTAAACTGAAAACTCTTTTTTAAAATTTCTCTACTTTCATACTGCCATCTGCTGTTTACTTAGAAAAATATCTTGATGTCAGAGATATATAAACAGAATTTTAGAGCTGAAAGAGGCCTTGGAAAGAGTCCAAACACCTCATTTTTAAAATGATAAAACTGGAACTCAGAAAGATCCCTTAATTTGACCAAGAATCCATAGCCAACCAATGACAAGGCTAAGGCCAAAGTCAGCTTAGCATTCTTCCCAACTGGGAAGTATTTCAACTGACACCTTAATTTTTTCCTAAAAATCAAAATATTAGTAAAGAACACCAATGTACTTTTGTTAATATCTTACAGCTTAAGTAGTTCTATGAATCGATGGCAGATGAAAATGTAACATTCATGTCATTTTGGTGTTTGAAAGTTCAGAGCAAATTATTTTATTCTCATCCTTAAAACTAGAGTATTTCTAGATTCTATTTACATAGATTTAAACCACAGTAGCCCCATATTTCATCGATAACAATCAGGGTGAAGTATAACTGGAATTGACCATTAAGTCACATCTGCAAGACGTGACACATTTACAGGCTTAGCTCTTGGTAATAGCAGGCAAGTTTCCCAAGATGAGAAACCATAGAGTACTCCTCAGTGCTGGACTAGTTTCAAGAGATAAACTGAATGAAAGGATGACTCTCTGGGGAAATTTCTTACAATGTTTCAAGTCTTGTACTTTGCAGAAGGGGCCTTTGGAACAAAAGTTAGTTAACTCAATATGAGCCAGTGATTCCACTTATGGAAAGCTGTAAAACTTTAGAAAAAAGGAAGAAGAAAGCTTCATCATCTTTTTATTTTAACAAGTCATTTTTTAAATGTAATCACCATCCATTATCGCTGCCATTTCATTTAGGAGGAAGAAGGAATCTTTTAATAAGGAAATAGTGAGAAGGATACATCATTTGAGAATAAAATGTAAGATAGAAAGAAGATAGTGGGAACCTAATACACACACACAGAGGATCAGTGCCTTTATATTCATTTCGCCTTCAGTGAAAATGTTTCTTGAAACTAAAATTGTATGTCAGTTGGTGTTTGGGAGCCATTATTACTATTACTACATTCCGTCTGGGAGATGAAAGTTGAGGAGCTGGTTGAACTGAAAGTCCTTGGCTAAATGTTCAGTAGTAGGCAGCTGGCTCAGAATGGTCTAAGGACGGTAGATGGCAGGGTGGGGCACCAAGAGGGGAACAGCTCTCTCCTTCCCAGCGTATGGTATTCAGGGCTCTTACAAGATATTCTATTCTCCCAGCCACAGTTTTGGCACAATGGGAACACATTCACTCAAAAAAATGTAAGAACCTGTATATTAGTGAATAGCCCTACAAACCAAAGTAAGGAGCAAAGAAAGTAAGGAAGATAAGGATGGGGTTTTGAGTACTGCAACCTCGTAAGTACAAAAATGAAACAAAAAATATAAAATAATGTGTTAATAGCCATCCGCAAATCAGACCGATTGAGGTAATTTTCAGCCAATAAAGGGAATAAAAAGGGAAATGAAAATGAAAGTTCTAACTGAAAAAGTGTTTTGTTATGATCACGGGTGAATTAAGAAAATGACAAGAATGAGTTGTTATAAGGAAGTCAGAAAGATCTACAAGTAGGTGATGAAATTGTTTCCTTCATCCCTCAGGGTGATTTAGGAAGAAACAAGAAAGCTAAATTTTTGCTGGCTGTTCAAATTAGCATGGAGGAAGAATACACTTCTTAAAATTTTAAAGTACGTTGGTAACATTATACTTAGGTCTGCATTCATCAAACAAAAACCTAAATATGTGACCACTGTCGTTCCTTCACTATTTACCCCGTAGAGCAACACTGCACAATAGAAATATAAGGAGTCACACGTGTGAGCCACGTATGGAATTCTAAACTCCCTAAGTAGGCACATTAGAAAAACAACAAGAAGTAAAATTAATTTTAGCAATACATTTTATCTGACTCAATACATCTAAAACACTATCATTTCAACATTTCAATATCATTAATGAGACATTTTATAGTCTTTTGTTTTGTAGTAAGGCTTTGAAATCCAGTATGAATTTGTTACACTTCTAGCACATCTCAACTTGAACTAGCCACATTTCAAGTGCTCAAGAGCCACATGGGGCTGGGGGTTGCTTTGTTGGACAGCGTGGCACTAGTGTCTCATACCATGGTAGAAGACACAGAGAGGACGACACACAATCCAAGAGCCAAACCAGAAGACAAAATAAACACACAAGAGTTCAATTAAAATCCAAGGTCACGGACAAGAGGCACCAAAAGAAAAGCTCAAATCATGTGTTG